GTGATGTGAGTTTCTTTGTGGTTTACTACTCATTTCCTGTATCCACTCACTATGTATGTATCTTTCTTTGTCTCTTCCTTCTTGTTTCTCTTTTCCACACTCTCTGCATAGACCTGTGAACTCAAGTGACGAAAACAAGAAGAAGAGTGAAGATGACCCTCATGATGATGCGCCGTGTGATGTGTGTGTTGGCCGTTGTGCTGTGCTGCGCCTGCGGGTATACCATGGCTGCTGCTGCTACTACTACTGTTGCTGCTGGACAGCCAAAGGCGGTGATGGCGGTATTTGATACTTCGGTTAGCAGAACTGCTGAACGACTACAGAACGAACAAATATTGCGAGTGGAGTGTACAACTAACCGTTCTGCTATTAAAGGTAAATTAAATTGTGCGTCAGTGGGAATAACAAGTGATACCAGTATACCGGGTTCCAGTGTCAGTCTTGAACAACAAGCGAAACAACAAATCCGACAAGAAACAGGGGAACAAGGTGCGGAACTTACTCCGGGTGGTATTCAAACCAGTCGTGTCGTTGGTAATGTGGGTCGTGGAGGTCAACACGGTCCTGTGGGTTCTGAGAACAACTCTGTTGGAAGCGGAGATCATAGAGAAAGTACGACAGACACATCAAATACATCCGCACAGTCTACATCTGCAGGAATTTCTTCTGTGAGTCCACCTGTTAATGACAGTCCTTCACCGAATGCAACTCCAGAGACCAGTAAAACTTCAACAGCATCCCCTAACGAGAATACAGGTAACCAGCAATCGCCTGTAGAGGGAAGTGCGAATGCCGCAAACACAGCTGATAACAGTACATCTGCCGATTCTAATCTTACCCAGCAATCTCCTGCAAATGGTGTTGTGACTGGCTCACCAGACTCAACAGAAACCAATACCACTACTTCGCCGATCTCCGTGAACACCACCACAGATGCACCAACCACCACTCCATCTCCTGTACCCAACGCAGATATCAACACCAACATCGCTTCCACTGTGCAGAATAAGGCTAATGCTGACAGCAGTATCAGTCCTGTGTGGATGGGCACTGCAGCACCGCTGCTGATTGTAGTGGTTGTGTTGTTCTCCGCTACTGTGTACTGAACGGTGGGACTCATCTGAGGACAAATAATAATAATGTTTATCCTAACATAATCATAATTGCGTACATCCCCCATGGGTGAATGAACTAACTAATAATCTGTTTACCAGCTTTCTCTTTTAATTCGAATTTCTTTTTGTTTTCTTTTCTTTTGTGTGTGTGTTCTTTTTTTAAAATAATTCCATTACTTGCTTTTCCCGTTGTGTGTGTTTGCAGAAAACTGGGCTTTTCTGCTCACTGACGGTATACATCTCTTGCTAGTACACACAGATGTGTGTGTGCAGTAATTTCATATACATAAACTAGAGCCATGGGGTATTGTGTGTGTGTTTGGCTCTCTCTTATTTGGGTATTGTGGAGTCTTTTCTTTTCTATTAATGGATACATATTATTATCATTACAAGCAGGCTATTCCTTTTTGTTGCTTTACTGAGTAGTTGTTGCTTCTCTCTTTTCCACTGTGAGTATTTGTTGTATTGGTGTTTCTTTGCTTCTGTCATAATTATTTTTTGTTTTCCTTCCTTTTTCTTGTTTCAGTCTACTGAAGTAAACAACAACAATGACAAAGGCTGTATTTGTGAGGTGTTATCTGCTCTGTTTACTAACTCTTGCACTCTGTTGTGCTTGTGGGTTAGTATGGGCTGATAGTCGTAAAGCTTCTGCTGCCCTCATTAAACCTTCCACTATTGGTGTTTCTTCTCTTGTTAGTCATGCTATTCCTGCGGATGGAGGTTGGATTGTGGATGAGGATGAGGAACTTCAGGTGGAGGGTGAGAAAGACAGGGAGAAAGATGGGGATAGAGAAACAAAAAGAATACATGAGATCAATGAAGTAGAAAAAACAACAATAAGCAAGCCATCAACAGTCTCTGGGTCAATGGGAAGTGAAGGTTCTCTCGGTCCTCAAGAGATCCCTGTTAATCCCACAGTCCAGCAGCAACGTCCACCACCACCGCTGGCTTCTTCACATGGTAAAGCATCCGCTGAGGGTACACCAGGTGCTATTGGTGTTGATGGTCTTCCTGGTAGTCCTGGAGTTGAGCGGAGTGATATGTCTGAGAGTGGCAGACTGGGGAAAAGTGATCCGTCCATAAAAGTGCCTGATAGTGGGCCAACACTCATGGACCAAGGTCGAAAAAGTACTGATAAAGAACAAGTGGAGGAATCAACCCGTGGTGATGATCAAGTAACTTCTGGTACGACAGAACATCAGGCGGAAGCATCACAGATATCTGGAAAGCAACCAGAAGAAACAACACCTAAAACAGATGGGCACCAATCACCCAATTCTGTCAGTCAACAGAATACGGGTGGTTCTGGTAGTTCAGATAACCAGAATACCGCAGTTCAGGCTCCGGTATCGGATACACCTCAGAGTTCTCACGCAGAGAATAATGAACACGGTAAAGCTGAGAATAATGTTGGACAGCTTCAAAACGGTACCGACGCAGAATCTTCTTCTCCTTTGAAAGACGTCACCCCTTCAGGAAGTGGATCAACAAATAAACCAGATGATATGGGTAATACAAATACAGACACCACCACCACAACAGCAACAACAACACTTCCTCCTGAACTCACAAACAACAAGAAGGGTGATGCAGACAGCAGCAGCAGCAGTATCAGCAGTTCTGTGTGGGTGCGTGTACCACTACTGATTGTGGTTACACTGGCCTGTATTCTTGTGTGCTGAACGGTGGGACTCATCTGAGAACAAATAATAATAATGGTTAAACTAACATAATCATAATTGCGTATATCCCTCATGGGTGAATGAATTAATAATCTGTTTACCAGCTTTCTCTTTCAATTGGAATATCTTTTTTTTTGTTTTTGTGTGTGTGTGTTCTTGGAGTCTCTCTGTGCGTGTGCATGGGCTTGCACTGTAATGATGATGAACTGCTTTTTGCAGTGAAAGGAAAAGGAAATATTAATAATAAGAGATGAATTTATATTTATAATTGCGTATATACACATATAGACTTACACCCATAGTTGGTGTATATTTCTGTGTTTACTGTGTAAATTGGGCTAATGGTTAATATCTTTTTTTTTGCTTGTTTGCCGGGTCATTGTGTGCTTTGACGTGCACCGTTTTGGTATTCTTTTTTTTTTGCAGAGGGAAAAAATATTAACTGTTACACATAATTTCATTCTTTGCTGTATATGCGGACCGCCAAATCAAGAGCTCTATATTTGTGTGTTTTCTTTCTTTTGTCGGTCGCACTTTTTAATTATTTATTATATGTCCTTCTTTCAGAGTTAATTGGGGTTTTCTGTTTAATTCTGGGTATAGTGTTACTTTTTTTTGTTTTAATTGGACACTCTAGGATATTATTTTGTTTTGTTTTTTGTTTATCTGTTGCTGGTTGATTTTTTTTGTTTATGTTTGTGTTTGTGTGTTTATTTTATTCTTGTTTTGTGTTACCTTTCTCTCTTTATGCTCTTATTTTTAATGGTGTGGTCTGGTTTATTTAGGCAATGCCCACTTTGTATGACTGTGATGAAGATGCGCCAAGATCTACTACTCCTATCAGTGAACCTGTTCC